AGCCCCAATACGATCATTAAGATTGGGCATATAATTTGAGCAGACATGGAATACACTAAAAACAACAAGGAGTCCTCCTACAGTCACAGTCTTGTGGATACAGACTAATATGGCTCCCCCTCTGACACTTGGCACATAAGACACTGTAACTTTATTATTCCACACAAATGAGAAATGTCTTAAAACATGGAGCTTTCCTTTTGGGCACGATAATAGGGATCCACTCACCTCTTGAGAGCCTCTTAGTGGCTGGGTCTGGTACCACAGTCCTTTTCTCACCCCTGGCGTACCCTGCCAGCCGACCTCAGTGAGTCTTCTGTGGCTCAGGCCTCTGGCTGCGTCCCAAAGTCCAAATGAACCCCTTCTGGGGTAGTCAAGAACAATCCCATTGCCCTCACTAGGGTCTCCAGGCCCAACTCTGGGTCCTTGAAATTCTGCCTTTTGTTCAAGCTCTCCATAAGCATTGTCCCCTCCGTGGGGCTTATGCCACTGTAGATGGTGGGGAACCAGGGCCTGCCCATAACTCTGGGTTCCAAACCATGGACCCTGGAAACAGTAGCTAGGCACTGCTTGATTTCAGTTCATTTTTGCTTCTTCCTACCGGCCACTTTTAGCTTCACCCTCACCTCCAGGTTAAAGTTCTTAGGGACCCTCTTCCTGCAAATCCAGCTTCAGCAAATGCTGCCAGAATCAAACTCTGGCTATCCCCTGAATTTCTGTGGCCAGAGAGCAGCCCCCTTTCTTGCCCCTCCAGGTCCTGCCAGGAACTGACCTGCTAAGGCCCTGCAGCTCCTTTGAGCTGAGCCTGATGGGCTCTGATTGGCTGCTTTCATGAGGCTTCTCTAGACAGACCCAGATTTGTGGCTGTGTTCCTGAGGCAGGGTGTAGTAGGACCACCGGGCCTCTTGTAAGGGGCCTCAAAGCCCAGGTACAGCCCATCACAGGCACAGATCGATTGTTTTTCTTAGAACCAGATGAGCCCCTAAGATAGTTGCTTAGCATAAGTGGGAAATATGATGCCGATGTTAGACGAAGGCTGTGGAAAGGGCGGATGGTCCAGCTGCTATCACACTAGCCCAGGACTTAGGAGATCCAGGTTCAATTTCCTGCTCTCTCAAAGATCTTGGGCAAGTCACTTAGCCCTTCTGTGCATCAGCTCCCTGCCTGTAAAATAGGAATCATTGTGCTTCCCTACCTCCCAGGAGTGTCGTGGGGATACAGACATTAAAGAGTTTTGAGGTACTCAGATACTACAGTAATGAGAACCTAAGATAGATGTGAATGTATTTGTTTGTTGCTTGTTTTATAGTATTAGGACACTAGGTTCATTCAGAAGTTCTGCTGAGCTAAACCAAGATCAGGAGCGGTTGGTTAGTATCAGCACTAGGACTTGGCAGAAGAGGTCCAGGAATTCAAATTCTCTCTGTATCTCTCTCAGCCAGCACCAGTGGTTGTGTAGCTAGCATAGGCAATGACAGCAATAAAAATATCAGAGAGAGAATGACTCAGAAAGGTGTAATGAAATTCCCTGTGAGGTTTCCATATAAAGGAAGACCCATTCTACTGTCTAAAATGACAATTCCTCCTATGAACTGAACTGTACAACTCCCGAAAGAAAGGCAAACATGAGACAACAGTCTAATGGTGAAACTGCTCTTCAGAACCCTGTGTCTTACCTGGGCAAGGAAAGCTGTGCTGGTGACTCGGAGGTTTTGTGTTGGGGAATTCACCCAGGGGAGGAGGCTCTGTAAGATCTCAGGTGTTACTAGTTCAGATCTTAGCAGAACACTGGAAGACAAAATAAACCGCTTATGGGGTAGATTGCACACTTCAAAAACTCAGCTGCTCTGAGCATACAGCTCTGATATCTATGAATGGGAGCTGTGTGTTTCCACCCAGGGTGCCCCCACAAAGCTATAAACTGGAGGTTCCCTCTCAGCCACTCTATTTGCTACTGATTCCCAAGGATAAAATCATGCCTCCTAGATCTCTTACCTCACCAGCAGACACACTCCCTCATGGTGAGTCTTGGGGTTTTCAAGCAGACTCTGTGTTCTCTGCTCCCTGAGCGCTCTCACCAGTCTCTCATTCCCAGCTCTGAAAAGCACAGCCTCTAATGCTTGGATAGAAAGCCTGGGGAAAGAGAGGCACAGAACTGCAGCAATCAGTAGGAAGGTGCAGCCTGAACAGAGTCAGGAAGCCCTGGTTACTTGTCAGGTCTGCTGTTCATCCACAGTTCATCCATTGGCAATATCCTGGACACCAGTGTCCCTGGAAGGACTTGATGCCGGGAGGTAAGTTTCAGTCTCATACATCTCATATGACTAGTTTTGCTAGGGACAAAATTTTGCAGTCATTTTTTCCTTTCTGCAAGGAGTCTGGGCACTAGCAGAGTACAATGATATGGAAAAGATACATGATCAGGACCCAAACACTGGGGACATAGAGTGTGGTGATCAGTAATGGGCATTTTGGGGTCATATCTCCAGATAGGATGTGACAGAGTGCTGAGGATTTGCACTTGAGTCAGCACTCTGGTCACTATTAGTACTAATTTGGTTCCTCACAGAAGGCCTAATTGGACAGAGGTGTACCTGATTACAAGGTCCGATTGGGGCTAGTGAGTCAAGGAATCATTCCATTAACAGGGAAACTGTATAAAAGGACATGGGCAGGAACTCTTTGAGGGGAACAGACAGAGAAAGAAACTTGGGTGACCAGATGTCCCAATATTTGGGGCTTTATCTCATACGGGTAACCCTGGGAACTTCTGGGGAGTGTCACACAACTCTATTGGAATTCTCTTTGTTTCTCTCCCTGCCTTCTAATTACCGGCAAGGGTCGCCCTCAGTATGTTGTAGGTCTTTTTGGAATTCCCTCCGGCTGCTTATCATTGGCAAAGGCATCTCTTGTCCTAGGGTTTGGCTGATCTGCTGCAGGAGAACAGGAAACAACTCTGGGAGCAGCTCCTGCACAGCTTTGCTCGACTGCAGTGCTGACACCACCTCAGAGATGGCACATGTTGCCTGAAAGGAGAGAATGGTAAAAACTGAGATCTCTTCCCAACACCATCACACCCTCTCTCCCCTGCTGAGATCTGCTGTACTAAATTCTCACTTCTGCCAGTAACTTGAATGACTGCGAGCAACTCGCTTAACTCGTGGCTGAAGTTTCCCACATCTGTACAAATGTGGATGACCTACCAAGGCATGTTGTGAGTCCTAGGGAATATTTGCAAAGCACTGTGAGAAACCTGTTTCAAAGACTTTCTAATTGCCAGATGTTATTAGGTAAATCAGCCACGTACTCTAAAACTGCCGTATTTGTTCCACAGACAGCAGAGCTGGACTCAGGGAAACAGTACATCAGAGGAGAAGTGCCCACACAGCAATATTATACCACACTTCTAGCTTTGCATCAGCGGGATTGTCACAGGGCAGAGGAAAGCCTGAAAGACGTGTCTGTCTTTACTTACTGAGAGAGGTTCAGCAGCTGCCAAATCCCTGTCGATTTCAGTCTCTGAGGTGATGCGGCCTTCTTGTCTTGTTGGAGTCTTTATCTTGTCTATCAGGATCTTTAGGATTTGAGTGGCAAGCAAGGGGTCTCCCCCCAGAGATCTCCACAGCTCAGTGATGTCACTGCAATTTAACAGAAGTTACATGTGACCTCTGGACACTTTTGTGACTCAGACTGAATACGTCATATTTAAGTAAAGACCAAATTTTCTCCTTGCCAATGATGAGAAAGTTAGGAGTACTGTCCTCCTTTAACGCTCCTCGTGTTTAAATATTGAGTTTCCAGTTACAGAACTAGGTTAAGTGACCTAGTCTTACTGCAACCTCACCATTAATACTAGACTTCAGAAGGACAGGACACAGAGCGCCAACCTCAGTTCCTGCTTTCCCATTTTCCAGTAAATATGGAATCATGACCATGTGGCTACAAAGATCTAGGGTTTGGAAGGCAAGTTGATGAAGGAAAAGCCATATTCCTACTAACTGGTGTGATCTAGCATGGCCAGAGGACAGCAGGAGAGTGATAGGTGGGAGATATGAAAGCCCCAGGATGATGAGAGCCTTAGTCCCTGTAGAGGGAAGAGAGGCTGCTACAGCTTAAGAAGAGCACCTGAAACCAATTAAGCCAATTAGAGCACCTAAAGCCAGTCACCTGACTAAACCCCCCCCCCCCCGCTTCAATCAGAGAGTTGGAGGAGTTGAAGCAGAGTGGTTTGGTGTTGGAGCAGAGAGCAGTTTGGAGGAGTTGAAGCAGAGTGGTTTGGTGTTGGAGCAGAGAGCAGTTTGGAGGAAGCAGTTTGGAGAAGTGCTGTGGCGGGCCAGAAGACCAAGACCCTAGGTAAAAGGAAACCTGGTTGTGCAGAGCAGAGGGACTCTACAGACACAAGGGGTTGGGAGAAACTTGGCCCAAGCGGAGAGAGGGCAGGAAGCCCCACAAGCTGAAGGGCAGGAGAGGGAAGTAGCCCAGGGGAAGGAATCGCTAGTTCAAGTGGTTCACTGCTATCCCTATAGCCCCTGGGCTGGGACCTGGAGTAGAGGGTGGGCCCAGGTCCCTCCCTCTCCACTCCCCTTTTCTGGGACACTAATGGGACAGTTGATACCCCAGTTCAGGGGTGAGAAACAGTGCCCTGCACCCCCACAAGAGGAGAAAGTGCGGGATGCAACATAATAGTGCTGGCAATTTGCCACACTGGACATACAACTATGAGACCAAATATTCGTGGCCATCCTATGTCCCCTTCACAAAGGGTGTCCCTACCCTCTGTTTGCCAGAAACTGGGATTGGGCAACAGGGGATGGATCACTTGACAATTACCTGTTCTGTTCATTCCCTCTGGGGCATGTGACACTGGCTAGATGGACCTTTGGTCTGATCCAGTATGGCCGTTCTTATGGTCTTAGATTCCAGCACTGATAACTGATAACTCAGTTAGGGATCTTTAAATGAAATGATGGATTTGCTTCCAGTCCAGTTTTAAGTACCCAGGACAGCAACTCTACTCTAGCAGCCACACCTTCACTGATACCAAGCAGAGGTCTGATGATAATATTGGCTCTATTCTTTGTAATCAGCCAGGGATTTGGACTTGAAGCTGTCATGCTACCAGGAAACCAACAGCCACTGCTAATTTCCGGAGTGAGGTCAATTCAGGTGTCTAGAGAGGTAGATGTTTCCAACAATACACTCCAGTTATACCAGTAAAGATAGGTCTTTAGGATATCAAAGCAGCTATTAATGAATGGAAACA